TTAGTTAAAAGGAAAAAAAAGATAAAAGAGAGTAAACTAAATGAAGTCTCTAGAAACATCCCTACTTAATAATAATATGCAGTCACTACTTGGCTTGTGTATTATTAAATAGTAAAGTCAGTTTTTGCCTCTAACTAGCTGCAGAAGGCAGAAAAGTGTTTCTGTTTGAGGTTGCATTAGTTTTTAACGATATCATATCAGTAAGCACTCAAAGAGCTCCATTCATGTGAGGTCGGCAATCAAGAAGTACACAAGAGCACATATTAATTTAGATTAGCAGCTGACTTTATGATAATATTCTTTCATCCAAACATGTGCTTACTACATATTTAATCCCGTAAGTTTTATACGCAGCTTCAATTCTTAAACTGGCAGGATAAAACTGATATTCGAGGTGTTCATAGTAACCACCACTAGCCCAAATAGCAATTGAAACCAATACTGTATAAGCAATCATAAAGAAACTAAGACAAACTTTTAGGTAAATGATCCGCATCAAGCTTGAACATCTTTATGTCCTCATATAGCAAAAATGAACTCCAAAAGCTTTTACTTGCTTTTAACAAAGTCAAAAGAAAGTGGCAAGAAGAAATATTTGCAGCAATCAAGTTATTCTTGTGATAGTTAGTGACTTGTAGACCATTGGTCATCTGGCCAATTAAGAATAGTTCACTATAGCTTACGTAAAGCATCCAATTAAAGATTTGATATGCACTTCTATAAATTTTATGCTGAGCCATTTACACTATTCAACTGATTAGGGTCTGTGTCACCCGTTATGAAAAGAGGTTGACATGATTTATATTAGTTATTTTCAAATGGTTGACATAATACATAGGAAAAGATTGTGTATGAGAGGTTTCTACATGACCATGAACTGAAACCCCACAATTCATTGATTACTCCATGTGCAATGTTGTCCACTAACTTCAACATTAGAAAGCCATTCCATAAGAAAAGGGCACGACATCTTGTTACAAGAGAATGTGGATCCCCCACTTCTCTAACTACTGATATCAGCAATAATGATATGCAAGTTTGGATATGAAAGATGCATTTTAATCTGTCTGAGGGGGCAACATGTCAATAATAACATAATATTAGGAATAACTAAATTGAAGATGTGAGATATAAGGTTCTCAATAGAGAAAATTGGAGATGCCACTTGCATAAGAGCATGGCGTGAGGAGAAAGCCTTTTCCCTCACAGTTTAGCTTCCCCTTCAGTAATAATATTAAAAAAAAATTAAAAGAAATGGGTTGGTACTCTTTAATTCACAGCCTGAAGTGGTGGATCTCATAGAGTTTCTCTCCTTTTCTCCCCCCATGTGCTGATGAGTCATACCAATTCTGCTATATGATTCACACAAATGGGAGATTTAACTAACAGTAGTGGTTTCTCAGTTTCTCATCTCCCATCTGTGTGAATTACCTTCAACTGAGAAACCACTAGGGTTAGTTAAATATCCATCTAGATGATGAGAGCATTAAAACAATACATACCTAACCCGTGGAAATTACTGATAATGGATGTTTCGTTTTTAATTATCATGGTAACTTCAAATTCAACTTTTTCATGTAAATGGGCTTGAATACAACATATTTAAATGAGTTTTTATTGTATAAAAGTATCAATACATTAAAGGAGAAACTATTAATAACATACGAAATAAATTATAGGTGGAGACCATATGCATAACTAACTGCGGATAACCAATACCAATGTTATGATCATTGTTTTATTAGATAAGAAACTAAGGCCTAGTTAAATAAACAAATAATAATGATATTGTGTATGACTACATTATTGTAATTTTTGTGATATTTGAATCACCATTATCTCACTATTTACATCAACATATTCATGTAAACTTTCTGCTCTAGATGAAGTAATTTCCCCTCCAAAACATGCAAGCTGTTTCCCAACTACATTTAATATTCTCCAGAAAATTAAACTGTAAATACAAAACAATTGTGGAATTAGAGCCATAAACTTTTAGCTGAAAGTCAGGAGTGTCATGTTTACAAGGTGTTCTAACGTCATGATCAGAATACCCGTGAACTTTTCTTTTTCTCAAGAGCAAGAATCCGATGATTGCTTTATCTTTTAAATGATTGGTAAAAAATATGATGCAATCACAGTATAATCAATGAAGATGATATAAAAATTAATTATATGGAAACTTGGTATTCATCTACATTCCCTGAGATTGTAGCATATACAAGAAAATCCCGCCTGCAACTGAAACATTAAGGGATTCAAACATACCTCCCATTGGAATGCTTACAAGCTCACATGATTGCATCGTTTGCATAGAAAGACCACTCCCCTCGCTGCCCAATACCAAACACAGAGGCAAATCTGAAAATGAATCTACAAATTGTCGAGATAGGGCGGAAGGTCCCTTAGATTGTACTTCACCACAGTTTCCTGGATGAGCTGCCAACATCTTCATATGAAATTTAGACCTCAAGGAATTGAGATGAGACCAATTGCCTGACACAAGAGGGAGCTGAAAGGATGCTCCTCTAGCTGCTCGTAGGGCTTTCTCATTGAAAGGATCACAGCAGCCAGAAAGTAGGAAAACTCCATCCTGCAGTGCAAAGCAGTGTTAACTCGCTGAATACTTCGATTTGCTTTTTGAGCTAGGACACTCAAACTTGGATATTTCGTGGACTGCTATGACAGTCCAACTCATAAAATTATGACAATATCACCATTTCATAGTAACATTAGATTTTTTCCCCCTTTAGGCAATGCATGAAATCTAGATTATACTCAGAAGTTTATTTTATTAACATATGAACCAAATTGACGAGTGAAAGAGTCATTATATACATATGGATATTGATATTTCCATAACATCTGTAAGGCAGGATGGCTATTGGTATTTTTTTTGGCTTTTTGCAATACTGAGTTTGACACCTTGACACCAATGTATAGTGTGCAGATGCTCGTCTCTGCCAAGACTATTTAAGATGTATGGCTAATTAAAATATTCCAACAATCTTAAGTGATCTGAACTGAAATGATCGATGATTTCAATTAGTACACCATACAACATCTAGTAAAGCCCATGATTTACATCATGTTGTCATATTATTAAGTCTCCCTTTATTTTGAAGTAAGCTGGAGTTTGCACATTGAGAAAAAAACCGGTTAATCAATTTCTAACTTATTTTAGCTTGAATAGAGCTACTTAATCCGGTAGCACAGCAGAAAGCTGCTCTGGCTAGTACTTGTCTCACTTGATTTTTGCAAGCATATGGGAATTGATACAAAATGAGAAAATGTACCAGAACAAGGCAATGATAAGTATAAAGTATCAAAAAAAAATTTCTTACCCAATTGAAAGCCACAGCTGACCTCAAAAGTGTGCCAAGATTACCTGGGTCCTGCAATAAAATTCAATGAAAAGAACACATCAGATGACCAAAATATGGACCTTTTGAGGCAAAAGTATAAGCATCCCATTATCTCATATAAGTTTAAGAATCCCATATAGGGTGACTAAAATAGGCCTTAAGCTGGAAGTTTGGTATAGTCCCCAGGGACTCCACCGAACTGAGTCGCCGTTGATAAAGACTAGTAGATGTTCTTCACAAAACAATGCAAAAGTATTGATCCCCTTAAAGCTAAAAGAACTAACCAGAAACTGACTGCTTTCTCCTTAATGAAATAACTGCTCTTACAAATGTTCTTTCAGTTATTTGATGAGTTCATCAACTAGTGGTCATCTTAAATTTTGAATAAAAGAACAACCATTAAGAATAGTGACATCTTATATTGAAAAGAGCCAAATATGCATCCTCTCCGTAACAGAAAAAATCAGCAATTAACTACAGCCCAAGTACAACTCAGCAATGGGTTTTACTTCTTATTAACTGCATATTCATTTCATTTGTTAAGAAATCCATAATTAGCATGATGGTGCTTTAAGAGAAGTTTGGTGTGCTTCCACACAGGGAGCTGCAAAAGTTCAAATTTTTTAAACTTAGTTTTGGATTAAAATAACAAAACTAAGTCGCCCAATCATTTCATAAACAAGGTTCTGTTAATATAACAGGGCTTTTCGTAGCACTAGAAGAAAACCAACAAACAACTAAGTGGAGTTAGTGGGGTATGGAATGCTATATTAGCTTCACTAAGGCGAGGAAAATTCAAGCTCAGTATTTTCGCTCATCCTTGGAAATTGAAAGAACCATTATTTACTACACATTTATGTGACTTGTTTAGAATTAAAAGAAGTAAAGAACATGATTCAGAGCAGAGCTATCTTCACTGCCATCCGACATTTATTTACAGCAAAATAAACACATAACAACCATAATAAAGACCATAGTAACATGATAATCAGATTAAAGGTAGGAAAGAACAGAACTTGGTGAGTATAAACAGCCAACTAATGTTAGGAAAACAAGGGACCAACAAGAATGGGACAAAAAAGAAGAAAGTAAATGGCATGAGTAATTTACAGCATATGAATAACGAATACGACAAAGAATAAAAGTTCACAATTTGATTGAGAAGCAAATATGGTCACTACATCAACACTCATCTAAACAAGACCATATGATGTGCATCTGCTTCCGCAGAATTTTTTTTTAATGGTTGACAATCAAAAATGTTATTGCTTTCATGTCCACATTAGTCTTTATCCTAGATATATAACGCATTACACAAGTATAGAAATAAACAGAAGCTCCAGGTGTTGAATGCAGTGTGGAGGAAACGGCTGTCTCAGTTATGAGACATAGCTGCTTTGTTCATTCACTGGCAGAAAGTACACTGCATGTGGCAGTGAAGTCAAAAGGAAATGCTGGTATATTGAAAACCTATTTAGCTCCTAAAGGCATATGGAAATTTTGGTTAGACCACAAAAGTCACCGGATTGAAGCAATACAATTTATTGGGAAGAATTCTAAGAACCTTTCAAAAGAGGCCAATGGCAGATGGTCTTCAACAAATCCAGTTTTTACGTATTTCTGGTGAGCAATACACTTTGGGACTTTGTAAGACGACTCTATGTAGATTTCTACATGAAGCAATGCATCAAAAAGTGCATTCAGGTTCAGGAGCTGAAAGCCTGCGACTTACAGAATGTTAAGAGGAAAAATTGTTGACTCAGATGACATTGGCAACACCCTTCCCATGAAAAGTGAGTATAGACTAGTGCAAGAAGCTATGCAATAGTTAGTTAACTTTCATAGTCAATGAGATTGTTTCTTTCCATGTGAAACTTTAGAAAGCCTCCATGCATCTCCGACAAGCAAGCAATATGAAATGCTAGTAATTGATGTTGTAGTAGAAGCCTAACAACAAAGGCACAAGTTTTCATTTGACTCGATACCAGTAAAGCCCCACTTCAGAAGATGTCCACTAGCACGAAAAGATGGTGTTAATACATATGAAGCCTGGAGAATTCCACTTGAACTAAAGGACAACCTAGTGATCATCTTACATATATAACTAGCGGTTTTGCTTTGTATGTAGAATGAACTCTAGTAGAAGTGTTTATCACCAAAGAAAAGCACGTTTCTTTTGCAAATGCAAGGATATGTTCAAAGATTGCAGCTTACCTTCTTGGATTGCCAGTAGGAATAAAAAATGTCATACCTGAATGCCATCGAGAACTAATATTCGGTGAGGAGAAGGGACAGAATTCCAATGAATGTCTTCCTCTTGATTCACATCCATGTCATAGAAACTCCCAGGGATTCTCATAAGTGCTACTCCTTCAATGGAGTCGATTGATTGCATACCAGAAAGCTTCTTCATTACACTGGGGCTGACATGCACAACGGAAGCATAAGAGTCATCCAGTCCTTCGGGACTCACTCCACCATCTACCAAAAACAAACAATCCAGTATAGGAGTTTCATCATTATGTGACCCTTGAAACCTGCAAATCTCTCTGCATGTGTACATGCGGTTCACATCGATCTTCAGTTAAGACAAATATGATGGCATATTCTCTATGTAAGGTATAAATAATTTCACAAATATGGACATCATATAGCAAATTACATCAGAAATTTGCAAGTTTGATATCATAGGCAGTTTATCATTCGGATCTTCCTGAAACTAAAAAGTTTCTACTTTCAAATCAAATATTAGATTACGAGTATTGCAAGGAATACAACTTTTACAATAAACAATAGGCTATGATTAAATCCATTATCCATAAACCGTGACGACACAAAGAATTAGCAATAACTTTTGATAAATGTTTTTAATATGATATACACATCTTAAGATCGTAGACTTATCCATCGTAGATTCTTTAGTTCTGTGGTGTTGTGACTTTTAAGATTAGACTTTGTGCAAGCCGAAGGATGCCCTCATTATATCAGTATCTTTACAGACATTAATATCAGACTACGTCCCTGAGAAAGATGTAAGTAACTATAGCCCACTTTGGAGACAATTCAGGAGGTAAAAGCAAAATTGTACTTCCCGATGCATTCATAAGTTCGCAAAAATAATTAAAAAAAAATATGCTTCAACTTCCTCTTCATTGAATCCCTCATCGTGATTCATAATTTCCTATATCGACACCTTTTCAATCTTATCTTTAAAAAGAAACCGCTAACTAACATCAAGTTCATCACAGAAAATGATATCTCTACAGACTTCAAACTCTTTCTCCTTTTTAACAAGGTCTAGTACTCTTTTCTTCCTTTCCTCTAGTTTGAAATGGCTGTTGTTTTCTGTTATGTGGATAAGAAAGGACATGTCATTGAACGCTTTCTTGCGCTTATTTATGTTTCCTCCACGACCACCGTAGCCCTCAAGGAGACAATTAAGTCTTTATTTTCTAAACATGGACTAAGTTTATCAATAGATCACGGACAAGGTTATGATGGCGCTAGTAACATGCAAGGAGAATTTAACAGCCTCAAAACATTAATCATGAACGAAAATGAGTGTGCTTTCTATATCCATTGTTTCGCACACCAACTTCAACTAGCTCTTGTGGGTGTTGGCAGTGTTGCAAAGCAACAAACCAAAATTGCTCTACTTTTGACGATGCTTAACAACATGGCGAATGTGGTTGGAGGTTCATGCAAACCTAGGTAGCCCGGACATGGACACAGATACAGACATGGAACACAACAAATTTGTAAAATGTAGGATACGCGAACAAGGTATATAATACACACATGATCAAATATTGAATGAAAATACCAATAACATTTGTATGTTTCTTTCTATTATCTATAACAATTAAAAATCAAGTTAAATCAAACCAAGAATAAGATTTAACAACAAAAAATTTAGTTTTGACTGCATGAGATAGTACGATGGATGTTTTTCAAATATTTAAGTAATGGGTTTCAGTTTTCGAGTTAAAAAACAATTGGTTTTGAACCAGATATTACCAGAAAAACTATTTTAGAGTATAAGTAGTGGGGAAATCGTGTTTTTCTTTGAACCACAAGTGTCCATAGTGTCCGCGGAGAATCGGTGTTAGACACGTGTCGGACATGGACATTGCACCAAAACGAAGTGTCCAAGCTACCTAGATGCAAACATCAGGATATTCTTTGAGCAAAACAAGTAAGCAAGATCATCGAAGGTTTAGAAAATTGTGAACTTTCAAGTGGAAGAGGTTTAAATCAAGAAACATCTCTTCATCGAGCTAGAGATATTCGTTGGGGTTCTCACTATGGGATGTTGGCCAATTTGATTCTTATGTTCTCATCTATTATTAAGGTGCTTGATGCCATTGTCAAAGATGGCACAAACTCGGAGCAAAAAGGCCAAGCAAGTGTCTTGTTATACTTCATACAATCTTTTGAGTATGTACTTCACATGCATTTCATGAAAAAGATATTAGGAGTTACACAAGAATTATCTCAAGCCCTGCAACGGAAAGATCAATATCAACGATGCCATGGTTTTAGTTAAAGTAGCCAAGCAATTGCTACAAATGATGAGAGATGATGAGTGGGAATCTTTGCTCAGTGAAGTTTCATCATTTAGTGAAAAATATGATATTCATATTCCAAACATGAATAATGTGTTTGTGATTTACGGACAGCCAAGGTGTAATGTTGATAAAGTGACAAATTTATACTAGTTTTGTGCTGAAATTTTCTATTAAGTGATTGACAACCAACTCCAAGAGCTCAACAACCGCTTTACATAAGCTAACACCGAGTTGCATATTTGTATTGCCTGCTTGAATCCAATGGATTCATTTTCTTTTGATAAGCGAAAAATTGATTCGCTTAGCTCAGTTTTATCCATCAGAGTTTCATCCAATAGATCTCATGGCTCTTGAATATCAACTTGAGAATTACATCATTGATGTAAGTTTAGATGGTCAATTTTCAAAGCTAAAAGGGATCGGTGATCTTTCCAAAAAGTTGGTTGAGACGAAAAAAATATTGCATATTCTTTGGTGTATTTGCTCGTGAAGTTGGCTTTGATCTTACCAGTTGCGACCGCAACTGTAGAGCGAGCTTTTTCTGTAATGAAGTATGTTAAGAATCATTTGCGTAATAAAATGGAAGATGAATGGAATGATTGTTTCGTTACATACATAGAAAAAGATGTGTTTGATAGCATTGCCACTAAAAAAATCATGCATCAGTGTCAAAATATGAAAAATCATCGAGAGCAATTGTAAAAGTATGAAATATCTTTTTTTTTTGTAAATGTAACTATCTAAACGCTTTCTATGTCTTTTGATATATACATATATGTATTTTGCAAACAAACTTCTATAAATTATTTTTGAATCTAATCACAATATTGGATTTAGTGGAGAATTTTTACTAGCAAGCATACATCTTTTGATTACATTAGTGGCAGTAAACCTATTAGTAAGAATACTCATATTTGTTTTTCTATCTCATCATAGGCAAAATATGATGCAATGAAACTAATAAAAGCGTTTCCATTACCGAGAACATTTCCACTAGGTACTATTGTTTCTATAATATTTTATTTTATTTCTAAATAAGTAAATACTTATTGTGCACCCCGCAAGGAAAATTTTCTGGACCCGCCCCTGTCCACACGTGACTTTCCTGGAGTTTTGAGTTGACTTTTATCAGGTAGTTCATAATGGATTATTGCAACACACATGCGCACAAACATATAAAAGAAATGAGAAAAGGTTATAGATGTTTGATTCTGAACCTAGTATTCTACAAACCTTACCCAAAGATAAACAGTTGGAAAGCTTGAATTGGTAGATATAACACTAAGAAGAACATTTCATTTAGAGCCTAAAGGTGCTTACAAACACATCCCATTCTCCTCGCGCTCTAACAAGAAACTTGCAATCTTAATTTTCTATAGGATTACGTGCGCCCTGATACCCTGAAGTTCCATTCTGACAATGTGGCACCCCCAAAGTGAAAAAAAAAAAGGGTTTACACCAATTTTGTTCAAGAGTGTCATCAACATAGAAAAGTGAATGAGAAGCAATATCCCTTACCAAAATTTGAGCTTTAGGGGGGGAAGTAAGGAACAGATCTAGGGGTTTGGGGTATGCAGTTCTCGTTTTGGAGCATGAAATGATTCAGAAAATTCATTAAAAGGGGAGGGGTCGAGGAGTTCACATGATCGGGGTGAGGCCGACGACGAGAGCGCATCCATTCGAGCGGCGGTAGGAGGAGCTCTGGCGGAGCTTGACGCAGTGCTTCACGAATGGGTTCGACGTGCTCGTTATCTTCTCCCCTCTTCTCCGCGGATGAGAGCGCAGAACTTCCGCATCGCCTCGTCCCGTTCTGCCGACGGGCAGCGGACGAAGAGACGAGCAGGAGGAGGAGGAGGAGGAGGAGGCAGCAACATCATCTCTGCTTGTTATCTTGGCGCGTCTTGAATCGTTATTTTAGGGTTCGGGTTGGTTTTCTTTGGGACAAGTTTGGGGTCAAGCTTCAGCTCGCTCGAGGGCCGGCCCGGGGCCATCCGTAATAAGAGTGAACAGCAGAACAGGAACGGGCTTGCTATTTACGGGTTGCAATAAATTATTAGGCTAATTGCACGTCACCCGATTGAGACTAGATCCTCCATGGTGTATATATAGCCGCTAGTAAATTTTTTCCAGCTCTTTTAAAAAATAAAAAATTAGCAATTGAGGATCTAATAAAACCATAGAAGGTCTACCCATCTCCAAAAATGTCGAAAAAGAAATTCACTCGAGAGTCTATTCACAAAAATGAATTAATACGCAAGGAGTCTATTTGTAATTCAGGGAGAAAGAAATACTAAACTATTGTTCAGATTAAACCACCCGTCTCCAAAACAGTTTTTAACAAAAGAACACTTTATGGACGCATCACGCATGTACTTCTCGTTCTTATATCCATTGTAGCTAAAAAGAAATGGGAACAAAAACAACAGTGTGTAGCTATGGAACACTTGGAATTTGGATTCTCTTCACTACAAAAAAGTAGTGGAGAGACAATTTACTTTTAATCCCAATCGTTGATTACTTAATAGGCGATTATGATACAATCTAAATCTAACACTTACCATACCCCCGTGTATTGCACTCATTCCTAATTTGCACTAAAAGAAAAAATCACAACCACCAATTAGATAATCAATAGTTGTGATTATGCAGTCGTCTCTCCACTACTTTTTAAATAGCGGAGAGGTTCCGAATCCGGAACACTTGAGGACCTAACTTACACAGAAAAAAGAAAAAAGAACACTTAAGGTCCGCTTATAACATTTTTAACGCTTAAATAGTCTCGTCATTTTTATGCTAAGTTCTACCATGTTAATTGATTAACGCGCTCGTAGCTATTTGTTATACACGTGCGAAACTAGCATAAGATCGATGACCAACTCCGTGGAGTTTTGGCTACATTTGGTACAAAGTTATGCGATTGAGGCCTGGTCCAGAAACAGGAGGTTGCGATTTTGACCGAACCATTTGGTGAACAAATTCTTGGTGTCTATGCTTTTCCGTGATGCGCGCATTGCTTGGGAAACACCCTGAGACTTGATAAATCTTCCCATTGTTGTGTTACCGTCTTGATCTGAGTGTAAAGCTGTACACGGCTTTTGGCTGCCAATGCAAAGATTATATTAAGTAATAGATATAACATAATAGATATAACGACATTTTCTGAAAAGAAAATGCAAATCAACCCTCACCGTCAAAGTTGAGATCGCTGGTGAAAAATGCTTTTGAGCCAATGAACGAGAAGAATGGCAATGGGACTAGAATTAACACATTAGTTACAACCTTTTTCTATCGTTAGACACTAAGTATGGAATGCAAAGGGTATAGCTACATACAAAGTGTATAGGGTAAGTAACTATACACCCTAAGGTATGCAGCTATACACTCTATATAGCATGTAGGGGTGGTAATTTATGACCGGATCCATCAACCCGACCCGACCCGACCCGTTTGTAATGGGTATGAGTTGAATTACATTGGTCGGGTCATAAACGGGTCAACCCAAATTTACTCATTTATTAAATAGGTCAATTCGGGTTGATCTGACTTACCCGTATAACACAAACACCAACCCGAATAACTAAGTGAACCAGCAACCCTTCGTCTCTCGTAAACGCGCTGTAGAGAAAAAGAAGAAGATCGAGAAGCCCTAGATTTCCCATCACGAAGCTCAAGCGGCAAGCGCCGAGCGGCGAACGGCGGCGATTGGAGAAAGGTGACGAGCGTTCGAGAGTGGCGACGAGAGGCGAGCGATGACCAGCGGCGATGAGAGCGTGAACTTTGCTGTAAGTTTTCAATTGACTTTCTCTTTTTCTTACCTCTATCCTTTTTCAAAAGATTCTATAATGAATTTTTCAAAATTTAATTTTGACCCGGATAAGTTTAGGGAGTTCTTAGTCTCGGTCATCATTATGCGCGATTTGCCATTTCAATTTGTTGAGTATGAAGGTATTCGAGCAATCTTCTCATATCTTTGTGAGGATCTAAAACACATATCAAGAAATACGGTTAAAGCCAATGTTCTTAAAATCTATGGAAGAGAGAAAAATAGGCTAAAAGAAGCTTTTGAATCGATTCCGGGTAGAATTAACTTGACTTCCAATTTGTGGACATCAATAGCCACCGACGGATATATTTGTCTCACGGCAAACTACATTGATCACGAGTGGAAATTATAAAATCGGTTTCTTAACTTTTCTTATATGCCACCTCCTCATTCTGGTATTATCATTTGTGAGAAGATCAATAAGTTGTTAGTTGATTAGAAAATTGAAAAGAAGTGGTTTTCTTTTACTCTTGATAATGCCTCCGCAAATGATGTTTTTGTTGATTTATTAAAAAAATAAGTTAATTTGAAAGAAGCACTTCTTGGGAAGGGAGAATTTTTTCATATTAGATGTTGTACTCATATCCTCAACTTGATTGTCCAAGATGGTTTAAAAGAAGTCCATGGTTGTATTGATAAAATTTGAGAAAGCGTGAAGTGTATAAAAGACTCTCAAATTAGAAAACAAAAATTTTGGGAATGTGTCTCTCATGAACAGGGTTGGTAAATGATCGAATCGAATCAAATACTAAGGTGTTCGTATTTGTATTTGTTTAAAATTATCGAATTCGAATGTGGACTCTAATATTCATATATGGAGTTTTTCGAACTCGAATACTTGGTATTTGATAAATATTCATGAATATTCACGAATACTGTTCGAATATCAAAGTTTATTTATTCCACTAAAGAATTTAAATTCATAAATAAAAATTATTCCTTTATAATATATAATGTATGTATATTTATATCAAAATTGTCATTAGAAAATAGATTTAAGATTATTTAAGTCTTAAAATCAGTACATAAAACTTAAGTATAAATGGTAAATAGGTTAAAAATATGACATCATATGTGCAATAATACAAATAATAAGTGATCAAATTTTAAATGAATATTTGATAGACAAACAAATCGAATGTACATCTAGTTAAATTCTATTCGTTAGTAAACTCGAATACTAAAAAATATTTGTTTAGTGGTAAAGGAACTACCGAATCGAATATGACCGAATAGTTACTCGAACAATTATCAAACTATTTGTTAATTATTTGGTTCATTTCCACCCCTACTCATGAATCTTTGGAAGTGAAGAATAGTTTAAGGCAAGATGTTCCAACAAGATGGAATGCTATTTTTCTAATGCTTGAGAGTGTTTTATACTATAGTCGTGCATTTATACACATGCAATCGAGTGATTCAAACTACTCAAGACTTTGTCCATCTCAAGAAGAATGGGATAAGGCTGAGAAGGTTAAGAGGTTATTAGCCACTTTCTATAACGCCGCTTGTCTTTTCTCTGGTACAAATTAGCCAACGGCTAATCTCTACTTTCTTCAAGTATTTGTTGTGCAACGTACTTTAAAGAGTGGGATGAAAGATAATGATGAATATGTTAAGTTAATAGCAACCAAAATGTACAAGAAATTTGAAAATTATTGGAGTGAGTACAATGTTCTACTTGCTATTGCTTGCATCTTGGATCCCCGATACAAAATGCAATTTGTAGAGTTTTGCTATTATGGGCTATATGGATACAATTCTACGGAGCTTAAGAATGTGAAAGACAAGTTTTTCTCTCTCTTTAATGAGTACTCGAGCAATATGGGTGAATGGTGATGATAGAAGAAGAAACTTGGAGAAATCAAGCGAGGAGGGAACTTCTCCTGTGTATGATGACACATTTGATCAAGATTGCATTGATATCTTGAGGGTAATTTCTTTCTCAAGTAATTAGTATGTCTCTTAGTTTTTTTTATTTTTGCATGTATTTACATCTTGTATGTGTATAATTTCTTGCAATTTCCACATTGTAACGTGCTCATCAGTTAAATCTTTCTTAGAATCCTTAATCTTTTATATGTCTTGCTGGTGCATTGGTTCTCAATAGTTGTTGTTTTCTTATGTTTAGCTTAATTTCTTAAACACTTGCTGCATTGTTTCTTTTATGTTGATTTTCTGAGAACAGTACATAGAACATGTTATGTGATCTACCCTTTTAGTTCTTGTTCCTAATAAGTAATGAATACTAACTAGCTAATTGTTAGCTTTAATATTATGTACTTCAAAGTGTAAAAGGTGTTGGTGAACATCAGTGGCTTTTGGTTTCAGGTTGGTCAGGCAGCTAGTTGATTCACGCTATCCAACTTGACTCTGATTATCCGAATTAGAACTTTATTTGGATGAACCAAAACTTGACCGCGGTGCTCAATTCGACATTCTTTCATTTTGGAAGACTAATGAGCATACATGTTCTAATTAGCATGTGCCTATACACTTTATTCTACACTTTGGGTTCGGACATGAGTAAACTGTCTTCGGGCGAATTAGAACAAATGTATGTCTTTAAAAGTGGTAAAACTTTGTAATTGTTACATGCAGTAACGCCTCAACGCGAAGGTCGCGTTGCACCTTACAGCAAATCAGACAAACATCGTCGATCGGGCGAACCTCGTCAAACAAACGAGTTTCGCAAATCAGACGAACCTCGTCAGTAAAACGAACTTCGTCTAATGAGCGAACCTCGTCGGGCGGGTCAATCAAACGAGTCTCGCAAATCAGACGAACTTCATCGAACGGGCGAACCTTGTCGAACGGGTCAATCAAATGAGTCTCGCAAATCAGACGAACCTCGTCGAATGGGCGAACCTCGTCAATCAAACGAGTCTCGTCAAATTAATGAACCTCGTCAAATAAAGGAGCGTCTTCTGATCTCGAGAACGCTAGGGTCACACCATCGTGCGAATGTGAAGCTCGTTTGTATGCTGCGAAGCAGCCTGCGAGGCAACCTTCATGGCGGCTATAGTAGCAGCCAACGTGGCGCCACCTAACCTTCTTGCAAAATGCAAAATACGCCTTACAAAACGTCACTTAGCGCCTCAGCCCGATTAGCCCCGATCCCCGATCCCCGACCCATTGGTCCACGGTCCACGAGCCCACGACCCTCGGCCCACTAGAACTTATGAGGGATAAATTAAAACAAAACAATTCTCAGTTTGCCGTTGGCAAGTCTCGAACAGAGCACCTTTTGAAATACCAAAACTTTTACTTTCCACTAGGCTACTAAGGATTTATAAAAAATACTAGTAGTTAATATATATATAGTTTGAAAATTTATTTTGGAAAGCAGTTTTGACTAAAAAATCCAACAAAAACCAACCCATAATGTCCACGTCATTATTGTCATTATCCTACAAATGCATGAACATTTGGTGAACAAATTCTTGGCATCTACGACTTCTGTGATGTAGGCATTGCGAGGGAAACACCCTGAGTTGGTAAGTCCTTCCATTGTTGTGTCACCGTCTTGATCTGGGTGTAAAACTGTACACCAGTTTTGCCTGCCAACACAAAGATTGCGTTGAAGTAATAAATAAAAAGATATAGCATGTCCAAAAAGAAATGCACACAAACCCTACCGAAAAAGTTGAGGTCACCAGCGAAAGATGCCTTCGATCCAGTGAATGAGAAGAATGGCAATGGGACTGGAATTGGCACATTAACCCCAACCTTGAAAAAAATATCAAGCCCGCAGGTCAAAATAGGTAACTAAACAAGTATGCAATGAACACAATATTAGTTTATTTAAATCATGCGGAAAATCTCCTAGTGAGAAACACAATATTAGTTTATTTAAATAAACTAAAACACATTAGTATCCATTCATTCATTCTGTCATTTCATTTTAGTTTCCAACTAATGTAATGAGGATACTAAAAAGTCTTAATATGTCATTTCTTCCGATACTGCCCTCACAAGAGAGCTCTTATGACTAACATGTAACTTCTAAATTTGCCTGCAAATTTAATGATTTACCTGGCCAGCTTCTATCTCTGTTTGGAATTTCCTGGCAGATATGCCTGACGTTGTAAATAGAGACGCTCCGTTACCATACCTAACATAGCAATAAAACATGTGACTTTTATGTTAGAGCTCAGATAAATTGTAGCCAGATTCCAAGTTCCTCTTCTAAGCAAAAGTACCTATTGTTGTTAACAATCTGGATAGCCTCTTCTAGACTTTCAGCCTGATGATATACATTGTCAGTCAGAAAGAAGACAAACAGAAGGGAAGAAACACAACAGGCAATATAGGCATACCTGCATGCAGAGGAGAACTGGACCAAAAATTTCCTCCTGTTTGAAACTGAAAATTACCATCAGTATGCTAAAAGTTTGTAGGAAGACATCTTTGAAAAATAGAAACATACTCAGCACAGCTTTGGTAGCGATTACTTAAGTTGCTACTATCTCAAGTGAGGTTTATTTCAACCCGGGAAAACAGATATAATTTACACTACTCTCAAACAAAACGAAAATGTCAAAGGAATCTGAAAGATATATATACCTTGTAACACTCCATGTCATTCGTCACATCAGATAAAATGGTCGGGCCAACAAAATTCCCATCCTTGTAACCGGGAACCTAAAGGAGAACAACAAAGTTTCAGTTCTCATATCATTTAGCCGATAGCAGTGTCTTCCGTTCTTGTTGCAGTTAAGCAAGAACTAATTACAAATGAAGTATCCAATTTGCAATTTTGTGGCTTTGACACAAAGTTTGATTCTGAACTTGAAGTTGTTGCCCAAATTAGAGAGGTTATCCATAAGGAAGAGCCCAATAACTTGCATTTTTTTAATAGTACATTGTTTTATCATAACACCAACAAACAAGAGGCTGGAGTGCTGTTACTCAAGCTAAAAGCCCACAGCAAAGCTATCTCCTTGTCAGCTTTCCTCAAAACATCTATTCCACATAGTTTGCAGCATGAAACATGCAGCGATGTTCAAGGATTTGTCAGCTTTCCTCAAAACATCTATTCCACATAGTTTGCAGCATGAAACATGCAGCGATGTTCAAGGATAGAAAGAACTGATAATAGTAGTTTCCTACACATAGTTTGCAGCATGAAACATGCAGCGATGTTCAAGGATAGAAAGAACTGATAATAGTAGTTTCCTACATCCAAGCGGCATGTATAGTCAGTTTCTGCAATATTTAATATCTTTCAACAGTATGACAGGAAAGTAACTCACTTTTGCCTCTCTTCATATAAGTTTGGGGAACAATGTTTTTCACCCTTCTTGTTCCCCACTCGCCACCATCAGCTCCTCCTCCAATTACAGGATCTATTATGAAACCCCAAATTGATAACATCTAGTTTGGCTCATCTTTTCCATTAACAAACAACCACAGATAGTCAGGTGTTAGACATCCAACCTAGTTGTTTCGCTAAGAACCAACACGAACCACAAAACAGCAAGTTTCAAGTATATGGATCAGCATGCAGATATCAATACACATAGGGTACCTTGGGAATATCGGATATGCCTTTAATTTAATACTCTGCATAAAAAGTCCCTCAATTTTTTTATATGCCTTTAGTTTAACACTCTCCACCAACCATGAAATCTTCTACAACTGGATTCATTGGAATCATGAAGAACCTCTCTAGAATCCTAGAAGAACCTTTGTGGAGGAGAAGAAATGATATTATTCATTGGAATCATGAAGAACCTCTCTAGAATCCTAGAAGAACCTTTGTGGAGGAGAAGAAATGATATTTGAAGGTTACATGGTTGAATTCAAGTATTGAATCCTAGAAGAACCTTTGTGGAGGAGAAGAAATGATATTTGAAGGTTACATGGTTGAATTCAAGTATTCACCCCTGGCAAAGAAACATACTATTTTCAGCCAACCAGAGTAAAAGTTCGCTCTATTACGACTAGTATGATTCCAAAATTTTAATTTATATTCTAGAGGAACTAACATGATCCTCCTTCAAAAGTTATTGCTAGAACTTTCTACCAATTTTGAAAGAAAATCGTGGCAATTTCAAATGATTCTAATTGATGTGGAAACCTTCAAAGGTATTCAACCTAATCATCCGTCGAGGTGATCAGTTAGCAAAGACATTTTGACATAATTGGGAAACTCATAAGTTTATTTAAAAAAGGTCATGGTAAATAATCATTCAAGCTCATAACCACAATTAACATCATGACAACAGCCATCACTATCATGAGTTGATAAGAACTACTGCATTGACATACAAATGTAAATTCAATTACAAAGTGCAAAATGAAACTATCCACGTGAACTAGTTACAAATCCTAGAAGCCTTGTTGGCTAATAGGAAGATGGTACATTATTAGGCATGGAGTTTAAGCTCAAGCAGCAATAGAGCAGCACTTGAAATTTGAAAAATCTCCTAGAGTAAGAATCTATAAGAAGGGGAAAGATAATGGATCTGCCATAGCTAATTGCATACAACTCTAAAGCACAATACAAATTGAATAAAATCAATTGCCACAACAGAAATCTCTATCTCAAGTAACCCTATTTCATATTTTCTCCAACCTTAATAGTCAAATTCATCCCATGCAAGTCTGATCTCTGTTCATGTACTAGAAGAAACAAAAAAATGTATATAGAAACAAACTCTGTTATTTTATCCAAGCCATTCCTAGTGCATAAGTTCACTTCCTTCAGAAATAACCCAATATGTAATACTAATAACAGAGCTAAGTCACCACCTTCCTTCCAACCAAAGTAACATATATTGTCCAATGATCCTATACAAATTTCCCAGGCAGTCCAGTTTACCAAAATCTCTCATATGACACTTTAATAGGATTTGTAATGTCCATTAGGAACACAGGGTACAATGTTATCTCTGTCTCGCTTAAATTAAACATGGAAATAAACTGGTTGCTGATACTGAAAGATTTTGAAGAACAAAATGAGATAAATGTGGTTACCACAATGTTTCTCCCATCAAGCACAATCCTAGCACCACTTTCAATGCCACTTTGTATCAAACTGCAAATGCGATCTTTTGCCTGTTGATTCAGGGCAGGCGACAAAAGAAGTTTACAGAAGTATACGTTAGTAAGGAATTGCATAAGGAGAAGTGAAACAAAAAACTAGTATTCTGCAGCTTCACCTGTTTGCTAATAACTGGACCAAGGTCTGTCCCAGGCTCAACACCAGCATTTACTTTCAGGGCACTGGCACGTTTAGTTAATTCTTCCTCCCTAAAAACCGGACATTTTCAGAAGCCTCATTAAAATCAGTTATGAAATGCAAAACAAGCACCGCTATTTCTCAAATTAAGACAATGAATTACAGCAATTGACTTATTTAATCACATTAGACAGAAAGTAACCCTCGACATATTGGATGACCAAATGATTTACCAAGGTTTTGAGCCACCAACAAAAACAGCTGTGCTAAGTGCCATACACCTTTGTCCTGCAGCACCGAAACCAGCGGCAACTAGAGCATTTAAAGTAGCTTCGGCACCTGCATCAGGCATGATGACTGCATGGTTTTTTGCACCCATATTTGACTGATGACAAGAAAATGCATCTAAAGTGTAAGGAATGAGTAAAAAAATAAGCAAACAAAAATGACGTACAATACAGACAAAAGTAGAACGCACAGAGAAAAGCAAAACATAATAATGTTTCAACAAATATATATATCCACCAATATTCAAGAAAAAAAGCACACTGACCTGAACACGTTTCCCCTTAGCCGTTGCCCTCGCATATATGTGCATTCCAGCCTAGAACAAAGAGAGAGTATATTCCATAAGATTTGAGAATTACCAATGTAAACTTTAAGAATATGCTTGTGGTAATTTTAATTAAATGAATAATACTATGCGACAACTATACCTGCATGACTATCTTAAACTTATATCAAAACTACATTATTTATTTCGTGTGAAGAAAAATCATACATAACACTGAATGTAATGCAAGCACTGGGTACTATTTAGAGTGAACACCAACACCTACTAAAAGAAAAAGTTCAACTTACTGGGTTTGAACCAACGAAAGATATAGCCTTGATGTCCTCGTCATCACATATATTGTTAACAGTGTCCTGTTCAATATTTTAAAAAGTTAGATATTTGGGAAATACTTCTTATAAACAATCGATTCAAATTTATTTTGCAATTGGCAAACTAAACCAAAGACATCAGTGTCCTAGACTGTTGTGCATGGTTTGCTTTGTATAAAAGTATAAACAGAATAGAACATGCAATAGACAAAGTGAAATTGTAATTGGCTAAATCAAGCTCACATGTGTGCCATGGACAATATTCAAGACTCCATCAGGCAAACCAGCCTCCATTGCGAGTTCAGCAAGCATCATCGAAGCCCCTGAAAGAATACAGTGATCATTCAGATAAATTCTTCCTTTTTATGTTTCCAGAGCTGAAATAATTTACTTCTAAAAATTTCAAAACTGGTAGTCGGACGTGAGTGCTACCCAATAATTGTATTTCACTATATATCCATGATGAGCACAACATTCACTTCCTCAAAAAATCATTTTCTCTTACTGCTTTTTCAGCATAGGACTGTATATCAGTTAGCTGATCGATTTGTTTGCAATTTTGAGGTTAGTTATTCTTAAACATTGAATTAGTGAATTTACCAGGAGATGTTGGACGTCATAAAGTATACCACATCTTCAGCTCATATATATCATCATTAAATTTAGTAGAATGCAAATCATGGCCTTTCTTTTATTTGTGCTGGTATGCATCCTATTGTAAAAAAAAATGGTGAATCTTAAACATATTAATCGAACAAATTATGGGGCTTAGTTTTATGCCTATATAACATTATGCATTCTCACAATTTCATGAGATTCATAAGTTATAGGTTCTGAACCACCTTGGGAGATCTTGTAATGCAGTCCTGTTTATTTGCTATCGTAGATATAGAATGAATGAAGGAATATTCTGCATGAACCATCCTCCAGAATGAAACAACCAGTTACATTTAGAACCACTTAAAATCACACGATAAGGGAAGACGAGAACAAAAAAACAAAGTCAGAAAAAGCAAGAGCTGGTACCTGGATCTTTCTCTGAGGGCTTTAAAATGAAAGTGTTACCACATGTCACAGCCATTGGGAACACCTGCATAAGGATAACTAGACCTTAGAACAAATATCTACTGATTATTAATCTTTATATGGTTTAGTTGAAGTAGCATGCGGAGTCAAACCCAATTGTAGAGCTTGGTTTCCTTGTATTTGGAAACTCATCCTGCAACTGAACCCCAAGCAGATGTTCAAAATACAGAACTGGAAACTACAAGGTTTGCAAGCACATCTTGAGAGAAGTGAACCCGCTCAAAGTTGTTGCAGTTGTGGGAAAAGTTCTACCAGAAACTAAACACAAGGACTCAACTATAGTTTGGATTTTGGAGATCAAGCCTGATCATAAAAATTGCTTGTAGCTCTAACTACAGTATTCAGAAGTGAAACTAAAAGTTGACTATAACATAAAGCAACCAACACATCGTTAACCCATGAAGCCAATCCAACAATATGCATAAAGCAATTTCAATTAGAATCGAACACAAAACATGCATACAAATTTGAAAAAAAGCAATAGAGTTATACCATTAAGGGAATCATGGCAGGAAAATTGAAAGGACATATCCCTGCACAGACACCAAGAGGCTCCCTGATACTATATGTATCGATTCCACTTGAAACATTTGACACGTATTCCCCCATCTGGAGTGTTGCCATCCCACAAGCATGCTCCACCACCTCTACAATAACATACAAAGAACAATTGTGCAAATTACTCATCCATCTAAATTATTTGTTGTACTAAATAAAATAAACAGCAATACGCATCATCCCTAACATATTGATTCATTATGAAATAACACATACAGACTTTAATGAAAATTTAGATTTGGTCCTAAACTTACCTAAACCACGAAAAACATCACCCTGGGCATCTTTAAGTGTCTTCCCTTGTTCAGTTGTAATATTCATAGCAAGCTTATCCTGAAAAAAGTAATACAGATACCATTAGTAATTGACCCTTGCTACAAAGTAAATATTTAAAAAAAAAACCTACTCTAAATAGTATACACCTACCATGATCAATCCTCTATAAAAGGGGAAGGCAGTGAAGGGAAAGAATTATCCCAACCAAGTGAAATAAAAGTCAAAGCGGGATGAAGCTTGTGGATCCCAGTAGCAAGCAAAATAAAGAGAAGTAAATAAGAGAGGGATAAATAGTGTGCTAAAAAAGAGTGTTGTAGTATAGTAGTTTATAGTAGAGGGAATATTTGTATTCGAGAGAGTATTGAGCATTGTACTACTAAGGAAATAATAATAATAAGATATTTCTTAGTGCCCACCACCCTTCTCAACTCAACAATTGGTATCAAAGTCACTCTCCCAAATCAACAAGTAGTATCAGAGAAAGCGGTCAAGGACTGGCTCTCTCCTACGGCGATCCTACTAATGTTCGTAAAGGCCAAAGTTCATGCGTAGTCCAGGACTGTGAAGTTGATTGGTCGGGACCCAGACTTGTTTGGAGATACTAAAGCGGTACCACGTCACGATGACAGATTTGACAAATATTCCCACTACACTTAAGAAACTCAATGGCAACAACTACAGTTGTTGAGAGACCTATTTGCAAGGACGGACCTCTTGGAAGTCGTCGATAGTGCCGAATCCTCAGTACCTCAAGAAATAGGTGAAGTGTTAAGATAATGGAACATAAATGCTGGCAAAGCCATGTATGTGCTGAAGATGACGGTAGAAAATGATCTCGTAGACTATATGCGAGATGTCAAAACTCCAAAAGAGGCATGGGATACAGTCGCCACACTCTTCTCAAAGAAAAACGACACTCGACTCCAGCTCCTTAAGAATTAGTTGATGATATTGCAACAAAAAGATGTAACAATCAGTCAATACTTTAAACAAGTAAAAGCACTTTGTTTAGCAGCTAGATCCGGATTCTAGATTATCGAATGCAAAGATAAGAAGAATAATTATCCACGGTTTGAGGGTAGAGTGCCACAAGCTTGTTACTGCTATAAACGGCTAGCCAATTCAACCAACAATATTAGAGTAGAAGAGTTTACTTGTTACACAAGAGACCTTAGCCAAACTAATGGCCGACGTTTCAATTGAAGAAGGGGACATCCATTAGTGATCATATGAACCACTACACGAAGCTTCTTACAGATTTGACGAATGTAGATATCATTGTTGAAGATGAGGACAAGACGTTGCTATTGTTGAGTTCCTTGCCCGACTAGGAATATGAGACGTTTGTCCTTACTCTTATTAATGGGAAGATATCTCTTTCATATAGTGAGGTCACCACTGCATTAGTGAATTACCAACTTAGGAATACGGACAAGGAGATTTTTATTAAGCCGATAGCGGGGGCATTGGTTGCAAGAGCAAAGGATCCAAACCAAGGTAGAAGATCACAGTCTAGAGGGGCACATCTTAAAATTCGTAGAAATCAGTGTGCTTTTTGTAAAGAAGATAGACATTGGAAAGATGAATACCCAAAGTTGAATGATCAAGCCGGGAAGAATAAGGGGAAAACTATTCAGACTTCAGAGGTGAATGTTGTCAAGGCTAGTGGTAACGATTCAGATTCGGATTCTTCGGGCTACTCATTATCTTCACTGTCGTCAGTTTGTGTTTCCTACTCTACAGAGTGGATGTTGGACTCGGGTGCTACATACTACATTTACTCTAGGAGGGATTACTTCTCCAACTTTCAGGAGTTGGAAAGAGAGGATTTCGTGCTCATGGGTAATGATCATGAATGCACTATTAGTGGTATTGACACCGTTCGGATTAGGATGAGTGACGGAGTGATTCGGGAGTTGGTTGGAGTGAGGTTCGTTCCTCAGTTGAAGAAGAACATCATTTCACTTGAAGCTTTGGAGGCAGCAGGCTATAGGATGACCTTGACGGATGCACGTTTGAAGGTTATATTTGGGTCTATGATTGTGATGAAGGACGTCGGAAGGAATAACTTATACTATTTGCTTGGGAGCACGGTGATTGATAGAGCACTGACGACTTCTTTGGTTAGACTGTGGCATTGTTTGGTGCTGGGATATATGATTGGTGATGCTGTGCATAGACTATTGATGAGTACTTTGACCTGCAGATGGAAGTCCTTTGAGCACATTAGGATGAGCAAGACTGTGGTGGAATTAGGCACTTCTATCCATCGAGTAAGGGGTCTTTTAGGAGGTGTTCAGTCAGGCATTTAGGAGCCTTCTAAGGAGACATCATTAGGAAGTAATCGTTTTGTAGTTTTCGCAGTTGGTGATTGTTCTAGATATTATTGGGTCGCGACCAGTTCCCGTTGGTGTAAAGTCCTAGAAGTCAACAATAATTGGAAGAAGTGTATTGACAGAAAGTTAACTCGTTGTTCTAGCTTTGGTAGGAGTCCTTTCTTGCGTTTGTGTCGAGCTCATAACAACTTGAAACACTTCATTGATGTGAAGACTTTGGGACGACGAGATGAGATGACAGTTTCGATGGGTCGTTCCTTTCTGGAGGAGGATCGACGTTGGTTGTCGAGCATTGGTTCTGGTTCTGGAGTTTCGACATATTTGGATCATCTTAGTCATAGATCGCCGACTGCTGCATTAGGAGTTATTGGATCTGGTAAAGCTGCTTCGGATTTTGGTTGACGTCGGATATTTGGTTACCCAGTATTTGGTCACATCGAGGATGTGAGATTTGATCCGATTACGCGTTTGTCATTTGATTATCGTTTGGGAGCTTCTGATTTTGTTCTGAACAGGAATGTCACTTTTGACTCTCAGCAGGTGGAGAGTATTGATCAGGTCATTTGGATATCGCAGCAGGTGAAGGGTGATGCTACTTCACGTTGGGTAGAACTTATTACACATATTTCAGATCATACTATGTTATTTGGGATTCTAACTGAGGTGGCACAGGTTGGGGATCATTTGATTTCAGATGCAGATGATGGATTGGTTTTGGATTCGGTTGTAGCTGGTGAACATGATTTGGATACGGCCATTGGTTCACCTCAGATGGAGGTGTTTGATTTGTATCAGTTTGGGACCGCTATCAGTTGCA